AGAAATTTCATTTTGTCATATTCCACATTCCACCCCAAAATTCTGCAACCTCCTAAATTATTTTCTAAATTTATTGTGCTGTAAAGTTCTATGTACTTAAACAAATTCATAGTGTTATGCATCCACTAGTATGGTATTACACAGAATAGTGTGACCACCCTAAAAATATCTCCTGTACTTCACCTATTGACCCTCTCCCATATCACCATAAGTGTTTTAAAAATCAAATTATTTTGACTCTAATGTGAAACCAATTTTATGTGTGAAAGGAATTTCTCAAACTACCATAGTTAAGAGAAGACCCCAACAACACGGGTTCCTTTTTCTGAATAGTTGGGGTCTGGATATGACAAGCACTAGGACACTGGACAACTATAATAGAAGGAAGAGCAGGAGGAAAACATGAGAGTGTCAGCAGTAAATGTCAATCACATCATAATGTCTCAAATAAGCTGCAATGTGTAACTGCTTTAATTTGTTAAAAAAAAGTTTATTAATTTATGCAATAAATGTTAATTGAGCACATGCTATGGGCTAGACATCACCCCATATGACTTACCATATATTGTTTTCTTCTTCATATATAAAGTAACAACATCCACATCATAGAAATGTTGGAGGGATTCTGTGAGTTGTGTCACGAAGAGTGCCTCGAACATCATCATTCTCCAGTGTATAATTCTCCAATCCTCACTATTTTAGAGTAGAAAAGAGAGAGAAAGAGAATTATTATCATTTTTGCTCTTGCCTTTTCTCCCTCTATTAAGTTTCATCATGGAATTGTCAAAGGGTGATGAGACAGCCTTGTGAGATGTGAGTCCCTCTCTAAGCAATCATTTAGGTCACTTGTTAAAAATAGGCTCCTGATCCCAACCCAGGAACTACTAAATCAGAATTTCCAGATGAGGGAGGGGGTTTGGAGGGCCTGGTGAACAAGGACAGAAGGTGATTGTTAACCATCATAGAAGTTAAGGAAACCTTGGCAGTGTCTTTCTAGAATGCACTCAGCGCTGAGAGCAGTTATGCCCATGACCTCACAAAAGGAAATGGTAAGAAAATGTGGCATTGTGGTGAAAATAGTAATATAATACTGATGGTGGTGGTGGTGGCAATTAATATTCATTGAGTACTCTATACCTGGCTCTGAGCTGGGCAGTTTAAAAGCATTATGTAACTATATCCTCACAATGTCTTTATGAGGTAGATGTTATTTCCCACCCCCCCCTTTTTTTTTTTACAGATAAATGAGCCTTAGACAAATTAATTAACTCATCCAAAGTCATCACTAGTGTATAGTGAACACTTGTTTTGTCTGACTTCAGAGTCATTTTTCTCAATGACAACACAAAAATAATGACAGGCAAAATGTTAGAGACTTGGAAACCAGGCCAAGCTTTTGTCTTGTCTAAAAGCTCCACCAGCCTATAGAATTCAAGTATTTGAGAAAAGAATACTTTTAGATCAGTCATTTTACATGCCTCAGTTTCCCCATGTGAAAAACAGGAATACCACATGCTCATCTAGTTCTAATATTCTGTGTTTCTCTTTCTTGACCACTCTCTTCCCATTCCGGTGTCACGAAAAGACAATATTGTCATTTTTGGTTTCACGAAAGACAATATTGCCATGGACCCAGGGGTCGGCAAGGTGATGGTTTTGGGATGACACCATTCCACTTCAGATCAATCATTAGATTATCATAAGGGGCATGCAACCTAGATCCTTGCATGTGCAGGTCACAGAAGGGTTCCTGCTCCTATGAGAATCTAATGCCAACACTGAAATTACAGGAGGTGCAGCTTAGGCGGTAGTGCAGTAATGCTCACTTGCCCTCTGCTCACCTCCTGCTGTGTGACCCATTTCCTAACAGGCCACGGACCAGTAGAGGTCTGTGGCCCCGAGGTTGGGGACCCTGGCTATAAAGGAATATCTGAAGCTGGGTAATTTAAAAAGGAAAGAAGTATTTGGCTCATGGTTGGGCAGACTGTGCAAGAATCATGGCACCAGCATATACTTCAGGTGTGGTCTGAGGAGGCTTCCAACCATGACAGAAGGGGAATAGGGAGCAGCGTGAGCAAGAGAGAGATCAGGCTGCTTTTTAACAATTAAATCATAAGGTAATGAATAGAGCAAGAACTCACTCATTACTGCAAGGACGACACCAAGACATTCACGGGAGATCCACTTGCATGACCTAAACACGAGGCCGTATCTCCAACACTGAGGAACAATTTTCAACATAAGATTTGGAAGAGACAAATATCCAAACTATATCACCACCTCCTAAGACAAAATGTATCTCCCACATTGTCTCTTTATGGCTCAGATCTTCAGCCACTGCAACATCGTAGACAAGTCCTACTGCCTCTCTGAATTAGAAGTTCACATCTAGAAAATGATTTAAAACAGTGACAGGTTTTCAAGCTAAATCTTAGTACAAAAGGTTAACAATTTGAGAAACATAAGGCATTTGGAAAGCATTATCTAGAGGCTTTTTACCTGGACTTGGGATGTTTTCATAATGAACTCTGTTTCTAAAACTTGACTGTGCTAACAGAAAATTTTAGTATAAGAGAGGTTACACCTATGAGCTCTGGTTTAAAAAACCTAGACTTACTCAAGGTCAGGAAGTTAATGGGAGAGCAAGCACTAGAACCCAGTATTTTTTTTTCTCTTGTTCTGGAACCTGAGTTACCACTTGTTTTCCCTTCCCCCCAAATTCTATAATAACCACATTTAGCAAATAGTGCTTCAGAAAATCTGAGCATTACAGCAGTGCAAAATAGAGGGGATAACTGATTGAGAACTGACTGGAGACGGGAGTGAGTTGGGAGGTTGTTACTAAAGTCCCTGAGAGGAACTTAAGGTTTGATTAGTAAGATTGACACACAGGAAAGCAAGGAAGGGTGACCGATGGAAAGGTCATAGGTGGGTTACCCAACTGGCCTACCCAGTAACCACATGGGACAGAATGCCAGTTCCAAGAGCTCCTGAAAAAGATAGGCAGTAAGCCTCAGTCTTGATGTTCAGCAATGATGTATCACTGGATTAGGTCTGTGTCTTCACTTCTCCCATAACCACTGAATAAATAAACACACCTTTAGCAGAAAGAAGATGAGATTTCAATTCAGCAAACTTGGATTTGAATTTAAGTTCACCCGTTTACGGCCACGTGAACTTATTGTGACATTTAACCCCTCTGAGACACAGTTTCCTATTTTACTGGGTTGTTGCGAGGAAGAGAAAGCCAGGGTGTCACTTATTGTAGACACTCAAAAGAAGGACTGTTAGATTATTTTATTGCAGGTGCTCCCTTGGAACAGGAAAAGTGGTAGAGAACTTGGAGGGCAATATCAAAAAGCTTGTCTATGGCACAATTCCGTCTTGTCTCCTTTTACTCTTAAAACAGTTTTTCCCTTCTTGCTTGCCCATTTGTATAGCATATTTGCCAAATATCCTCTTGATGAGAAATCAATTTTTTATACCTTAATTATGTCCATTTACAAATGAGAGAAGACTCACATAGACTTGTGGATAAGACTTAAAATTAAGTAAAACATGCTCTGTTTACTTCAAGGCTTTATTTACCATGATAACCAGTACTTCCTATTACACATTCAGCACACCTCTGAAACAAACTTGATAAAACAGCACCATATATTTTAACAGTTATATATTTGTAGAAAATTAAGCTTCTGAGCCACTGCTTGCCACTTTGAGAAGGAACAACACAAATCAGAAGTCATAAAAATACATAACATTCATTGAACTTTTGCTGTGTGCTCTGAATTTTGCTGAAGTCTTACATGATTATCTCACTTAATCACTAATAAAACCCTAATAAGTAAGCAATAAATGTTAGTGGCTAGTAATATTATTATTGCTACTCTTTGTAGCCTGTAAGCTATTAACAATAGCTCACTTATTAGGGGTTTTTGTTTCCCTTAGCCTCTGGTTTTTCTAAGAATTGCTCTTTCATTCTTTAGATCTCCCTCTTCTCTTTGTCCCCCATTCCAAATAATATGGAGGGGCCAGGCCAAAACCTTTCCATCTGTATAGACTGAATTATGTCTTTTCAAAATGTATATGTTGAACTTCTAATCCCCAATACCTCAGAATGTGACTGTATTTGGAGACAGAACCTGAAAGAGATGATTAATATTAAATGAAGCCAGAAGGGCAGGCCCCTCACCTGATTGAACCACTGTTCTTATAAGAAAAGGGAGAGAAACCCCAGAGATGCAGGCAAAGAGAGGAAGTAACATGTGAAGACACAGTGAGAAAGTTGCTATTTACAAGCCAAGGAGCTCTCTGGAGAAACCAGCCTACAGATATCTTGAACTTGGACTTACAGCCTCCAGAAGTGTGAGGAAACAAATTCTGTTGTTTATGCTACCCAGATTGTAACACTTTGTTATAGAAGCTCTAGGAAACTAGTAATACCATCTGAAAACATAATCTTTCAATGTTACTTTTATTTCTAAAAATTGTAAAGTGTAAGGATCTAGGTTACAAAATAATTTTAAATGAATTTATGTCATTTTTCCATTTTTCAGTTTCAAAATACTTTCTAATTTTCTTTCCTTTTTTCTTTTTAAATTTTAAATGTAGGGGTATATTGTGTCATGCTGAGGTTTGTGTTTCTATTGATCTTCTCGCCTGAATAGTGAACATTGTACCCAATGGGAAGTTTCTCAGCCATTGCCCTGTCCTCCCTCCCCTCATTTGGACTCCCAGTGTCTACTGTTCCCATCTTTACTTCTGCTTGTACCCAGTGTTCAGCAGCCACATATAAGTGAAAACATGCAATATTTGCTTTTCTGTTTTAGCATTTATTCATTTAAGATAATGGCCTCCGGCTGCATCCATATTGTTGCAAAGGGCATGATTTCATTCTTTTTAAATTTCTCTTTTATTTTAGATTCAGTGGGTACATGCGCAGGCTTGTGACCTGAATATATTGCATGATGCTAAGCTTTGAAGTATGAATGATCCTGTCACCCAGGTACTGAGTATAATATCCAAGAGTTAGCTTTTCAGCCCTTTCCCTCACTCTCCCTCCCCCTCTCATATTCCCCAGTTTCTATTGTTGCCATATTTGTGTCCTGAGTACCCAGTGTTCAGCTCCCACTTATAAGTGAGAACGTGCAGTATTTAGTTTTCTGTTATTGTGTTAATTTGCTTAGGATAATGGCAGCCAGTTGCATCCAAGTTGCTGCAAAGGACATTGTTTTATTCCTTTCTAAGGCAGTGCAGTATTTCATGCCTTAGACATATCACATTTTATTGCACAGTACACTATTGATAGGCACCTGGGTTGACTCCATGTCTTTCTTATTGTGAACAGGGTTGTGGTAAACATATGCATGTGGGTGTCTTTTTGGTAGAATGATTTATTTTCTGCTTTTAGGCATATACCCAGTAATAAGATTACTAGGTCAAATGGGAGTTCTATTTTTGTTTCACCTCCTTGGTTAGATATATTCTTAGGTGTTTTGTGTGTGTGGATATTGTAAATAGGATTGTGTTCTTGCTTTGGCTCTCAGCTTAAACGTTATTGTTCTATTGAAATGCTTCTGATTTTGGAACATTGATTTTGTAGTCAGAAACTTTGCTGAAGTCATTTACCAACTCTAGGAGACTTTTGGCAGACTCTTTAGCGTTTTCTAGGTATAGAATCATATCATCTTTGAAGAGAGATCATTTGACTTCCACTCTTCCTGTTCGCATGCCTTTTATTTCTTTCTCTTGATTGCTCTGACAAGTGCTTCCGGTACTATGTTGAACAGGAGTGATGAGAGTGAACATCCTTGCCTTGTTCTAGTTCTTAATGGGAACGATCCCAGCTTTTGCCCATTTAATATAATGTTGGTTATGAGTTTGTCATAGATGTCTCTTATTATTTGGAGGTATTTTCCTCCAATGCCTGGTTTGCTGAGGATTTTTCTAATGAAGAGATTTTGGATTTTATTATATGTTTTATCAGTGTCTATTGAGATGGTCATATGGTTTTGTTTTTAGTGCTATTTATCTAGTGAATTACATTTACTAATTTGTGTATGTTGAATCATCCTAGCATCTCAGGGGAAAAAAAAGGCTACTTGTTTGTGGCAGATTAACTTTTTGATATGCTGTCTGATTTCAGTTTGCTAGAATTTGGGGGAGGGTTTTTGTGTCTATGTTCATTATGGATATTGGCCTATAGTTTCTTTTGCTGTTATTATTGTGTCTCTGACAGGCTTTTGTGTCAGGATGTTAATTGTTTCATAGATTGAGTTAGGGAAGAGTCCTCCTCCTCAAATTTTTGGAATCGTTTCAGTGGGATGGGTACCAGCTCTTCTGTGGATGTCTGCTAGAGTTCAATTGTGAATGTATCTGATTCAGGACTTTTTCTGGTTGGTAGATATTTTATTACTTATTCAATTTTGGAACATATTATTAGTCTGTTTAGGGTTTCAACTTCTGACTCAATCTTGATAGATTGTATATTTTCAGGAATTTATTCGTTTCCTCTAGATTTTCTATTTTTTCCACATAGAAGTGTTCATAATAGTTTTTAGGGATCTTTTCTATTTCTGTTGAATCAATTGTAATGTCACCTTTCTCATTTCTGACTGTGCTTATTTGGACTCTCTCTCTCTCTCTCTCTCTTTCTCTCTCTCTCTCTCTCTCTCTCTCTCTATATATATATATATATATATATTTTTTTTTTTTTTGAGACAGAGTCTTGCTCTGTCACTAGGTGCCAGGCTGGAGTGCAGTGGCACAATCTCAGCTCACTGCAACCTCTGCTTCCCGGGTTCAAGCAATTCTCCTGCCTCAGCCTCCCAAGTAGCTGAGACTACTGGCATGCACCACCACACCTAGCTAATTTTTGTTTTTTAGTATAGATGGGGTTTCACCATGTTGGTCAGGATGGTGTTAATCTGCTGACCTCATGATCCACCTGCCTTGGCCTCCCAAAGCCCCCTCTCTCTCTTAAATCTAGCTAGCAGTCTGTCACACTCATTTATCTCTAAATAACTAACTTTTAGTTACATGGATCCTTTGTGTGTTTTTTCTTTTTTGTTCTCAGTTTTATTTTATTTATTTATTTATTTATTCATTCATTTATGTGAACTTTTATTTTAGGTTCAAGAGTAGATACGAAGGTTTATTATATACGTTAACTTGTGTCATATGAATTCATTGTACGTGAGTTTACCTATATAACAAACCTGCATATGTACTCCTAAACCTAAAATAATCTGGGTGATTATTTCATCACCCAGGTACTAAGTCTAGTACCCAATAGTTATTTTTTTCTCCTCTCTCTTCTCCCACTCTCCACCCTCAAGAAAGCCCCAGTGTCTGTTGTCCCTTCCTTTGTGTTCATGGGATCTCATTATTTAGCTCCCCCTTATAAGTGAGAAGATGCAGTATTTGGTTTTATGTTCCTGCATTAGTTTGCTCAGGTGGCTTCCAGCTCCAACCACATTCCTATAAAAAACATGACCTTGTTCTTTTATTGGCTGCATAGTATTCCATGGTATATATGTACCATGTTTTCTCTATCCAATCTGTCATTGATGGGCGTTTAAGTTGATTTCCTATCTATTGTTGTAATAAACATTCAAGTCCATGTGTCTTTATGGTAGAATGATTAACATTTATCTGAGTATATACCCAGTAATGAGATGGCTGGGTCAAATGATAGTCCTGTTGTTAGCTCTTTGAGGAATTGCCACACAGCTTTCCGTAACAGTTGAACTAATTTACACTCACCAACAATGTATAAGCATTTCCTTTTTTCTGCAACCTGGCCAGCACTGGTTATTTTTTGACTTTCATAATAATTATTCTGACTGTCATGAGATGGTGTTTCATGTGGTTTTGATTTGCATTTCACTAATAATCAGTGATGTTGAACTTTTAAAAAATATGCTCGTTGGCTGCATGTATGTCTTCTTTTGAAAGGGTGTGTTCATGTCCTTTGCCCACTTTTTAATGTGGTTTTTTATTTTTTCTTGTAAATTTGTTTGAGTCTTTCTCAGATGCTAGCTATCAGACCTTTCTCAGATGCATAGTTTGCAAATTTTTTTTCCGTTCTCTAGATTGTCTGTTTACTCTGTTGATAGTTTCTTTTGCTTTGCAGAAGCTTTTAAGTTTAATTAGATCCTATTTGTCAATTTTATTTTTGTTGAAATTGCTTTTGGCATCTCTGCCATAAAATATTTTCTCTTTTTCATGTACAAAATGGTATTTGCCTAGGTTGTCTTTCAGGGTTTATATAGTTTTTGGTTTCACAATCATCTAGAGTTGGTTTTTGTGTATGGTTATAAGTAAGGTGCCCATTTTCAGTCTTCTCCGTATGGCTAGCTAGTTATACCAACACCATTTATTGAATAGCAAGTTTTTTCCCCATTGTTTGTTTTTGTCAACTTTGTTGAAGATCAGATGACCGTAGATATGCGGCCTTATTTCTGGGCTCTCTTTTCTGTTCTGTTGGTTTACATGTCTGTTTTTGTACCCATTCCATGCTGTTTTGGTTAATAGAGCCTGGTAGAATAGTTTGAAGTCAGCCAGGCCCAGTGGCTCACGCCTGCAATCCTAGCACTTTGGGAGGCTGAGGTGGGTGGATCTCCTGAGGTCAGGAGTTCGAGACCATCCTAACCAACATGGAGAAACTCCATCTCTATTAAAAATATAAAATTAGCTGGGCGTGGTGGCACATGCCTGTAATCCCAGCTACTCGGGAGACTGAGCCAGGAGAATCACTTTAACCCAGGAGGCAGAGGTTGCAGTGAGCCAAGATCATGCCATTGTACTCCAGGCTGGGCAACAAGAGCAAAACTCCATCTAAAAAAAAAAAAGAGGGATAGTTTGAAGTCAGGTAACATGATGCCTCCAGCTTTGTTCTTTTTATTTAGATTTGCCTTGACTATTTTGATCTTTTAGGTTTCATATGAACTTTCAAACAGTTTTTTTTTTTCTAGTTCTGTGAAAAATGTAATTTGTAGTACAATAGGAATAGCATTGAATCTGTAAATTGCTTTCAGCAGTATGGCCATTTTAATGATACTGATTTTTCCTATCCAAGAGCATGGGATGTTCTTCTGTTTGTTTGTATCATCTTTGATTTCTTTGAGCAGTGTTTTATAATTCTCATTGTAGGCTGTATTCCTAGGTATTTTCTTCTTTTTGTTGCAATTGTAAATGGCTCTTGGCTTGGCTGTTGGTATCTTGGAATGCTAGTGATCTTAGTATGTTGCTTTTGTATACTAAAACTTTACTGTTCTTCTCCAATTTAAGATATGTCTTTTTTTCTGCTGGTTTTCACATTAGTTTGTTCTTCTTTCTAGGTACCCTAGGTGTGAAGATTGTTAACGTGAGATCTTTCTAACTTCTTAAGTTAGGTGTTTAGTGTTATAAACATTCCTTTTAATACTGTTTTTGCTGCGTCCTAGAGGGTTTGGTATGTTGTGTCTCTACTTTGATTTGTTTTAAAGTCTTTTTGGCCAGGTGTGGTGGCTAACATCTGTAATCTCAGCACTTTGGGAGGCCAAGGCAGGTGGATCATAAGGTCAGGAGTTTGAGAGCAGCCTGACCAATATGGTGAAAACCTGTCTCTACAAAAAATACAAAAAGTAGCTGGCATGGTGGTGCACATCTGTAATCCCAGCTGCTCAGGAAGCTAAGGCAAGAGAATCACCTGAACTTGGGAGGTAAAGGCTGCAGTGAGCCATGATTGAGCCACAGTACTCCAGCCTGGGCAACAGAGGGACTCCATTTCAAAACAGAACAAAACATAAAATAGTTTTTGATTTCTGCCTTAATTTCATTGTTTACTCAAAAGTAATTCAGGAGAAACTTGATTAGTTTCCAATCGTTTGGTTTTGAGAGTTTCTCTTGGTTTTGATTTCTGTGTTCATTCCACAGTGGTCCAAGAAGATGCTTGATATGATTTTGATTTTTAAATATTTATTGAAACTTGCTTTATGAACACACACATGGTCAATCTTAAATTATATTCCATGTGCAGACAAGAAGAAAGTATATTCTGTGGTTGTTGGGGGGAGTATTTTGTAGATGTCCATTAGGTTCAATTAGTCAAGTGTTGAATATAAATTCAGAATTTCTTTGTCTTTGTTAGTTTTTTGCCTTGATAATCTCTGTGATGATGTCAGTAGAGTGTTAAAGCCCCCAGTATTATTGTATGACTAAATTTTTTCATAGGTTTAGAAGTATCACTACTAGAATTATTTGTTTTGTGAATCTTGTTTTATAATAAGGTTGTTTGAAGATCGGTGCATATAAATTTAGGACAGTTAAATTTTCTTGTTGAACTGAACCCTGTGTCATTATATTATGCCTTTCTTTTGTGTGTGTGTGTGTGTGTGTGTGTGTGTGTATTTACTATTTTGGCTTAAACTCTGTTTTTGCTGATACAAGAATAGTGATCCCTGCATTTCTGCATTTGTTTTTTTGTTTGTTTGTTTGTTTGTTTTGGTTTTCCATGTGCATGATAAATCTTTCCCCATCCCTTTACTTTAAACCTATAGGTATAATTACATGTTAGATATATTTCTTGAAGAAAGTAGAAGATAGATTATGTTTTATTAAATGCTTTGTCACTGTATGTTTTTTAAGTGGAGTGTTTAGGTTGTTTACATTCAAGCTTAACATTATTACATGAGATTGTCTTCCTCCCAGAGTGTTGTTAGCTAGTTGCTTTGCAGTCTTGATTGTGTAGTTGGTATATCGTGTTCATGAGCTGTGTGCTTATGTGTGCTTTTGTGGTAGTAAGTAATGTTCTTTTGCTTTTGTGTCAAGAACTCCTCTAAGCATCACTTTTAGTTCTGGTCTGTTATTGATAAATTCCCTTAGCAATTGCTTGTCTGAGAAAGACTTTATTTTCCCTTTGTGTACACAGTTTAATTTGGTGGAATGTTAAATTCTTGGCTGTCATTTCTTTGGGAATGCTAAAAATGGGCCCTCAATCTCCTCATGTCCTCTGGCTTTTAAGATTTTTGCTGAGAAGTCTGCTCTTAGTTTGATGTGTTTCCTCTTATACATAATATGTCCCTTTTCTCTGGCTGTCTGTAAGGTTTGTGTATGTGTGTGTGTGTTTGTGTGTGTGTTGACCTTCATAGTCTGATGACTCTGTGCCTTGAGGATTATCATTTTCTATAGTGTCTTTCATGAGTTCTCAGGATTTTTTATATCTCCATGTTGACTCCTCTAACAAGATTGGGGGAAATTTTTTGAATTATATCTTCAAATGTTTTCCAAGTTGTTTATTTTCTCCTACTCTTTGCAAGTCATAGATTTGATCACTTTACATAATCTCATATTTCTCAAAGGATTTGTTTCGAAATTTTAATTCTATTTTTCTTATTTTTTTAGAGGGTGAATTTGAATGACTGGTCTTCAAACTCTGAAATTCTTTATTCTATCTGGTCTTTTCTGTTGTTAATGTTTCCAACAGTATTTTGACATTCCTGTAGTGAATTTTTCAATTCCAGAAGTTCAGTTTTGTTCTCAATATAGTTATGTGGTCTTTCAAATCCTAGATATTTGTTTATTTATTTGTTTTCTTTGTGTTAGATTTCAACTTCTTTTGTATCTCATTGAATATTCTTGCCATCCGTATTCTGAATTATATATCTACTATTTCACACATTTCATTCAGCTTAGAATTTATTGCTTGGGAGCTAGTGAGAGCCTTTGGTGGTGATGAAACACTGATTTTTTGAATTTTTAAAGTTTTTCTGCTGGTTCCTTCTCATGGGAATGAGTTGATGCTTTTTTTTTTTTTTAATTTGCTATAATTTGAATTGGGCTTTTTAATTTTCAAATTTTTTCCCCTCGAAGGTATGACTGTGGTGTATCTTATGTATAATCAATTGGCTTACTTTCTGGATGCTTTCAGAGTACATACCAGGACTGTATGAGTTTCTTGGTTGTAGATGGATTCCTACAGTGGCATTCTTAGATGTGGCTTGTTTTAGCAATGTATTTTTGTTTGATGGTATAATTTAGGCTGCAGTCCAGTCATCTTAAGAGTAGGAGCCAGTGGGAGGCTCTTATTCTGCACGTGCTTACACTCAGTGGAGGTGGAGGCAATGGAGAAGCATGAAAGGTGCCCTCCTTCAGTGTCTCTGGTCTTCAGCAGCAGTAGAGTTTCTAGAGAAGCTGAAGAAGTCCCTGTTTTAGCCCATGCTCCCTGAGCCCCAATGGGAGTTGCTGCCATGTCTGCAGCAATGCACTGACTGGGGAGGTGGGTGGGGTATGAGATATGACCCCCTCTTCAAGTCAATTCAAAAGCATTGATGTTGCCTCCTTTAGTGGCTGGCACTATGCTCACATTTCCTTTGACTCAGGGCAATTTCGTTGGCTATACTTCTTCCTCCCATAGGGGAAATCCACACTGAGTGTCAGATTTCCAGGAAAATGGAGTCCATCTCCTTACCTCTCCTCAGAGCTACTGGGGCACCCTCAGTCAACTGACCATGGGAGCAGATTTGGGCACCCAGTAATAACATTTGCAGACCAGTTTCAAGTTGCAAAGTTGT